TGACGGGGATTCGAACCCGCGACCCTCAGATTGCGATTCGAGTGCCTTAACCACCTGGCCATGCCGGGCCACCAAGAAATGAACCTAGTAATGAAAATGACGCGAAATCAGTGTTTACTTATTCAGTTTCTGATGTAACGCGATTCTCTCTGGAGCAACGCTAATATTAACATGAAATTAAGTTTTAAATTAAGAATGTTTGATAAATTTCCTTCCCCATTTTTTACAAGTTTTAATAATCCTTGGATTAAAAATAAATAAATAACTTGGTTCATTTAACAAAATAATTCAAGATAAAACTTTATACTCCCCCACCCCCTCCCCCAAATAAAACCAAAACAAATCACGATCTTGAATTACTTTGTAGTTGTAATCCCCCCTTTTTATAATCGTCTTAGATAAATTTGATTTTTTTTTTTTACGGAATATTCAGACGATACGGTTATTCACGCGCTACTTAATTGAGTGTAAGTGTACACCCTCCATTAGTTAGAATTAGAATATATTTAAGGTGACAGGTTGGCATTTTTAATTTTATTACTTTTTTTTTTTTTACTTATACGCATCAGAACATGAGTAATTCCCATGTTCGTTGAAAGTTGGCCCTCTGTAATCAGAATACAGCGTTTAGTCAATAAACACCTATGCTTTGTACTATACGAAAGAAAAAGAGTTCAAATCAACGTCGGTCATTTTCTTATCGACAAGTATATTAAAAACAAGCTAAAAACCTGTTCCTTCTCACGTTACTAATTAAGAAGTTTAACGATATTTATGTAACAGCCATTAGAAACACTGGCCGAGCACTAAATAATAAATGTAATATATTAATAATGTGTGTTAGATTTTTATTTAATCAGAAGATGAAAGGTCTGTTGTTACTTAACCATTAATACTTCTAAGTAACTCATCTTAAGAATCAAATCAGATTGACATAGCTAATTCTCAACCCAGGCGTTTGACTCTAATTTCGATAAGTTTTCTTTGATAATATTTGTAAATAATTCTACAATATCTATATTGAAACACTGGATATTTGTTTCGTTTTTGTTTTTAAATAATGAATGCAGAGTTTTTACTCCACGTTTGATGCTCAAAAAACTTTGAGGGTCGTACTGTTAATCTTATATTCTCTGGTTCGTGTCCCGTTGCTACCAGAATGCACCCCATACTTTGATGTTGTAGATGTGCTATAAGAGTGACGGTCATATCCCGGTATTTGGTCAGACGAGAGTTGATAATAGCTGCCATTGGTTTGTTGCTTTCTCTCTAGTCCAACAGTTCAAAATTAGGGGCCAGATAGTCCTTTGTGTAGATTTGGAGGGAAATTCTGAAACAAAGAAAGGAATCAACGGACTGAATATTGAAAGAAATACGTTTTTTGTTTTAAACTTCCTCAGTAATTCCAAAAAGAGGTTTCTATGTTTAAGTTCAACAATAAAATGTATAAATCTTCACAAGGTTTTTAGAAAAAATATGGAGTTAAATCATATCGACATGTGTTTGTTCTGTAAAAGA